GTGACCATCCCCCCGGGGGGGGTGATTTCTCACTTTCTGTCTGTCTATCTGGCGAGCGCACCCTATAGCAAAAAGCTCTCTCCCTCAAAAAAAAAAAAAAAAGAATATACTTAGTCCTTAGCTTTCTAGAATATTTCTGGAGACAGACCTACAATAATGTAGTGAGGGGGAGTGGGGCGCCAGGGTGGAAGGGAGCGAGCTGTACTTAGCATGCTATGCTCTTCGTCCTAGTCAAAATGTTCAGACTACTCTTTCAATTAACCTGTACTTAAAAAGACTGTGTTTTGATTTAAAGGGGAACATGATTTTGTCTTCTATCTAGGTTTATTCCATTTGCTAAGAGAGCCACAGAAAACTTACACTGTATTTGTTTTTAGTTAAATATATCAACAGTTATTTGTTGACTGCTTTAGAAAAGGGGTTATAAATGTATCATACACATCACACATAAGATAAACAATATAATAAATACAGTATATCTTACTATAGCTTAAGAACTAGAAACTTATAGAGGCTTTGGAAGCATCAAGTGTCTCCCCCTCCCTCCACTCCCTGAACTGAAGTGGACTGGGAAGTTTTACTCTCTTTCGTAGAGATAAGAAAATAGAGTCTTTGAGAGGCGATGTTTATTTGAGTGCACAGCTCACTCACAGAGTAGCCGGCCTCCTCAACTCCAGGCTCTCCGATTCCAGGTCCACGACACTTTTTAGCATGTTTCTGATGGTTATTGTCATGTAACCAGACTGAAAAAATTTGGATTCACTGCTTTTAGTCATTTTCATAAATGAGTGTAATCAGCTTCACTATGGACAAAATTGATTATCTTAAAAAATGTGTAATTGCCCATTGAGAAGACCAGAAAAGGCTTCACAATGGCTTCATTGGTTGCCTGGGGGATTGTGGCAGAAGAGGTAGTTTAACAACAGAAGCATCAATAGAGGAAATTAGCTTTTGTCTCGGATACTTCTCACCGTCTGGGGCAGCCGGGCAGCCGCAGCTCCTACAAAAACTATGAAGGGTTCATTTTCTGACCTTTTGGCTCCATTTATGTGCAAAGTGTGAATTAAGATATGTACTGGTAAAGTACAATTTTCTTCATCTGGGAAATGTTCTTTGAATATATTGGGGCTATATGAGATTGTTTTAAGGTGAAACACCTGGTATGAAAAGGTGTGGCAATAAAGTCTAAACTTCTTTTCTTCTTCTCCTTCTTCTTCCTTCTTCTTTCTGATCATAATGATTATGAATTTGGAACAAAATAAGAAAATTCAAAATTGAAAGTCACAAAATCTAGATTGTCAAATTAAGGAGCTATGTTTGGTATGAAGGGCTTCTTAATTCTTGATTTAGGACTGAAAGATGTTGCAGCAGGAAGAGGCTTCGTCCTGGGTGTTGGCATGCTCCATCCATGGCTGCCCCTCTCCAGGAGGGCATCTCCTGCTCTCTCGTCACTCTGTGGAATCACACTGGCCTGCATCACAGGCCGCCGCTGCACCCGGTATGCTGGGCCCCACATCTTCACCCCGTCGGCTCTGCTGCGGCCTCTCATCAGGCTTTCCCTGACTCATACTCCCTGTCACCTCCCCTGACCTTCCATCTGCAGAGCACTTACCATTATCTAATATTATCTTGTGTGTGTGTGTCTGTGCATTTACTACTCACCCCTGCTCCCTCAAGCCTGGGAATATTTTGAGGACAGATTGCTCTGTTTTGTCCATGTCCCCACTGCGTGGCTTCAGGCCTAGAACTTTCCCATCGGCAAGAGAGGGCTCCAATGGGAAAGTACACCAGTGGTCTTCGTGGGTGAGACAGGGACAATGAACTGCTAGTCGGTTTATGATACAAGAATCCAATGGGATTGAGGGGTTGGGGAAGCACAAGAAAAGGTCCCTGGCAGTGGTAAGGGGTCCCTTCCAATCCAGCTGTTCTTGTATGGGGGACATGTTTTATGGGAACAATAGCTGTCACCCAGAGTGAAAAATAAAAGATGGTACCCCTGAAAGCTTGGGCTTAGTGTACCCTTGGACATAAGTGTCACTAAGGTGGTGAGATTACCTCTCCAGGTGAGACACTGGCCCGTCAGGTTCATTGCCCAAGTGAGAAAATGAACAGAGACGCTACACATGGTGTGGAGACTAAATCTCAGCATTGACGTTGTGTGGTAGCAAAGGGAGAAAAGACAGCCCAGCTAGGCCAGCTGGTGGCCTGCCCAGACCTTGCAGTTTTCTCTCTGAAAAGACAGTTGATCTTGGTGGATTAGGGGGATTCATGGGGCTCTTGGGCAAGAAAGAGGCTCCAGAAGAAAAATGACAAACTTCTTACTGACTTGGCATTAGGACTTGAGCTGGTTTTAATGTAAACTAAATAGAGATGGGACCTGATTTGCCCAAAACCTAGTGTAGTAGGAAGAAAATGCAACACATTAGGAATATCACTTGTAGGGAGACTAGATGAGGTCATCTGGACAAGAACGCTCGTGGCAGCTCTGTTTGCGTGGCCAAATCATGCAAACAACCTAAATGTCGCCGAGTAAGGGGCTCGTTAAACAGATGAAAAAGGCTGGTCTATATGTACTCATGAAAGACAGCCTTGGCATACAGTTAAGTGATAAACTCAAGGGGCAGCCCAGGCCACAGAACACAATACAACTTTCTGGTTGCGAAAGAGTCTCTATCAACAGATAAGTCTGCATAAGCGCAGGAAAAATTGGAGAGTCATGAACCAAACCATTAACTAAGATTTTTTTTTTAAACTCCTTTGAGACTGAGACTAAGGGAAAAAAGTAAATTATTTTCATTTCTAAGTTTATATAGTTGTAAAAGTTGTGTTGAGATAATGGATAATTTTTACCTTGCTGTGTCTTAGTAATTCAGAGAAAGAGACAGACAGACACACGAGAATATGTGTTATGTGAACCCAGATACGGGTCTGGTAACCCAGCTTCTATGAACCCAAACGTCGTGCCCTCACCATTACCCCCATGGCCTGAAATGAAGGGACAGAACTCTGCTGTTCCAGACAAATGAAAAGAATGAACTAGAACAGTGATTTTTAAATTGTTCACTAACCATTAGGCATTTATTTTTCCCAAATACAACCCCCAAATATAAAACAAACAAAAGTGGGGCTGCCCTGGGTGAATTGGGGTAGGGTTGATCTTAGTTACTTATCTGTAAAATGAGCAGCTTGGACTAGTCAGATGATTTCCCAGCTCCGTCCCCATCGGGATGAGAGAGTTGAGGCCCAGGGGACAAGTGGAGGAACTGGCCAGGTCACCTAGCTGGCTTCCAGAGCAGATATGATTTCTCCTTTGTCTACATTTCATTCTGCTTAGGCTTTGCAAAAGGAATGATCTGAATTCAACTTGAAATGCAGATTTTTGCTTTAGTTCACTTTGCATGTGAATAGAATATTCGATTGTTACTAATGGATGCATAATGTATCATTTAAAATGTGTCTATTTCTGTGTAAAAGGGAAAGGTTTCATTGAATTAAACCTAAATGCAGTGACCTGTCTGTTCATCCAGAC